TTCTATCGAGTATTTAGCACACAGTATGTGTTCACCTAAATAGTTATTATTGTTGTTATTAACTGATGAGTAGCGAAATCATGCAGCCTCATTGGAAGGAAGAATTTAAAAGTATGTAAAGCAATAATAATTGAAGTTTTAAAATAGTAAACTCATGGCAAATATAATCATATTCCAAACAGATGATAACTTAAAACAAAATCATGCCTGTGTATATTTGGGTGGAGAGAAAGATTAGTTAAAAAGTCTTTGCAAAGTTATGATCATTACCACAAAGTGCTTAGTAATAAGGATAATGAAAAACAAAGGCTCCAAAATTATTACAAAGAAACCTATATTCACAGATAAATAAGGCTGAGTCTAAACCAAGAGGACAGAGGTTTGATGCTATGAACTCATAGAACATTATCCTTTTTTGATTTACACATAAAAACCTTGTTTTATTCTGCACACAGATCTTCCAACATTTTCAGAAGCTGTCACAAAAACTAGTTTAGGATATCGGGTTTCCTGCATCCTCTCCAAGCTTTTCTTCCTGCAATTAAGCCTTATATGATCAGAGGATTTAGACTGAAGTAGAGAAAAGACTTTCTTGTTTTTGTCTTTTAAGAGGACATGTTCTGGAAATCTCAGGAGAATATGGCAGATGCTGCACAGTGAAGTCTGGGGTATATATTTTTGGTACTCAGTAAACAAACATTCAGAGAATAAGGTCTTAGAAGAGTCATATATGTGAGAGAGTTGAAATCATCCAAACCTGAAGCAAAGATTAGATCCTAGTTTTTGCTTCTTGAATGTCTGCTTTATCTTAAAACAACCAACAAAATTTCTTGGCCCTGTGAACCTGCAATTCTGTTCTTGAATTAGAGAGAGATGCTTTTGCTCATGTGGCTTGGAAAGGCTTCTTGGTTGTTTTTAAGTGTGTGAAGCACTAAATTTTGAAGGTCAGAGAAGTCATGACACATTATTGGTAAGCACATCAGCTTCTTACTTCATAGTGTGTTCAGAGGGGCATGATGCAGGCAGTCCAGGAGGTGATGGTCATGATGTTCTGCTGCAGAACATTTGGGTTTCCCTACAGGTGTAATTGGTATGAAATGAGTCATTAGTCATCACATTTTTCTGGAAGAGTCAGAAGAGAAAAAGTTTAGAGTGAAATTGAATACAGTTTGTAATTTCCTTTTGTCACTGATATGAGGGAATGATGTTTTGCATCAAGCTTGTTTACCGAAAAAGCTTACTATAGGCTGGTTCTTATGCTAAGTAGTGGCTAGAAATGAGTAGAATGAGAATATAAGACTTTTCTAATCAGATTTATTATTATTTATACTAGGAATTTATGAAGATGCTGTGTGCAAACATGTCCTTTCATATGGTTAAAAAAAATCAGTAAGAGTAGGGGATGGGGATAGAGGAGGTATAGGGCAATGGGGGAGGGCTACATAGCCATAAAAGGAAAAGTGAACTCATGGAAACTACATGTAGGATGCGTAGCTAGGCCAAAAGGAAAGTGGTGAAAATATCCTTACCCTAGGGAACTGAGTCCTGTCTATGCCAGGTATTTGCTAATGTTGTGAAACTATCTGCAAATTCAAACTCTCAGTAAATATACTAGACATATTTCTCCTGTTTGGATACAAAACTCACCTTTTCAAGGGCTAAAGCATTCTTTGAGTGTTGATTGAGGTTTCAAGGCTTGAAACTTCAGCAAGGACAGATGTGTCAAGTGACCAGAAAAAACAATTCAGGCAAGTATTAGTTTGACTTGTAGCTAGGATTCACCATTTCAGACCAAAAGTCATGTTTTCATATCTTAAGGACAAACAGGACAAAAAGCAATTAATACATTAGGGGATTGAAATTCAAGGTCTCTGATCATTTTCAACAAATATTTTCAAATAGCCTGTGCTGGGTAGGTGGAGGCATAGCCCCAGAGGGATGCCTTCTGTCCCTCCCGCTCTCAGAGGACGTAGGAAAAACCTACCACTGGCAAGATTTCCGTGGTTGCATTAGCTTTTCTAACTAGATGTGATTCCAATCTAGTCTAGTCTACACCAGTCTTCGCTTCCACAGCCAGGAAAGAAACTTTGCTGCCTAGAAATTCTACTAGGTCTGGTGAACGTTGTGGGGACAGGGCGGGGTTGCCTGAAAGGGTACTTGAAATTCCTTTGTGTTATCTGTTAATTGAAAGGAAGTTCTAACTTTTGGGTCCCTTCTTCATTCCCTCCCTTTTCTCCCCTGTCGTTTTCAGTTATATACAGGATATCTGACGGTTTCTCTCGCTCTTAACCTCAGTCGCCTTAGGAGGATGTAAACATCTCTTTGGGAGAGAACCAGGGTGAGATCAGGATAAAATTGGAAGGCTCTCCCCCTTGTCGTGCCCTGCCCTGTCCTGCCCCGGTTCTCCTTTCACTCTCCCTCCTCTTTCCCCTTCTCCCAGAAAGGATGCGTTGGGTGAACACTCCTCGAAGGCCCCAGGCCTCGCTTTAAGCCAGATCGTGTCTGCATTTGCAATGAACTAGTTCGTACCAGACGCGGTTTCCTAAGTGGCCTCGGCCGGGACACTTCGTCAGTGCTGGTCAGGATGGCTCCGGGCCTTTCCAGCTCCACATTTCTACCTGATGCACCCCTCTTCTTCGCCGCTCCCCAGACACAAATGCTCCCCGAAAGCAGCGGCAGTTAACATTCTGATTAGAATGTTCCTCGACATTAACAGCAAATTACTACTCTCAGGGAGGACTTGGGGGGTAGTTTTGGTCTTTGAGACATCCGTTGCCCGGTATTTGCCTCCATCCAATAGAAAGCAGGAGGAGCCTACGCTCACGCGGGAGGATTTGGCGAGATGGGGATGCAACCACAGACTCTCGCAGTTTTGTTGGAGTCCGGTCCTCAGCTTCTAGTTCCTCCCCTTCCGCAGCCTTCCCGGTATCCCCCGGGCTCAAGGGCCCAGGGCCAGAACTTTTGAGAATAGGAAAGCTTCTTTACTCAAAGGACGCCAAAGTCGCCTAATCAGAGACCGTCAGTGGCTCGAAAGATCCGTGGGACCGTCCTGTCCCTGACTCGATTCCCCCAGGCAGCTGTGGGTCCCGGCTGGGCAGGTCTTTAGATTGTGCCCAGCAACGGTTGGGTCTTGGAAGCTTGATTTTCTGGAGGTCAGTGACTAAGAATCTCCAAATGATTTCTTTGCTTAGTCTTTCACTTTCGTGAATGGGTTCAGGCCTCAAGGCCCTCAGTTACGGAGTGCTGGGCCCCGAGTTCCGCGCCTAGTTAGGTCCTGAGTGCCTAAGCTGAGCAGAGTGGACGTGGCACAGCCCTTGCAAACTAGGGCACAGTTAAGATTCTGGCGGGCCCCGGAGCCAGTAGTTCCGTCACCCACCCCACAAAGTTAATGTTTGTGGTTTTCTTTTTGATAGGCCATGAAGTCAACATTCTCCCCACATGGTGGCTCCCTTTACTAAAGTTGAGTAGTGAATTTGTACAGGGAGTCTTGGAAATTTTCAAATGTTTCTACAGATTGAACTCATTTCAGAATTCGCGTGGGTGGAAAGAGTAAGGATTTTTTAATCGGGTTCACCTTTGACGCGAAGAAAGGCGGAAGACAGGAAAGTCACAGTCGGTAATAGCTTTGGGCGCTTTAGTAAGAAAGTCTCTGCTTGATTATCCGGTTGGTCGTGTTCACCGCAGGCTCTTTGTGTGAGAATTTACTCCAGAGGCAGAGCTGAACACGGAACACATGCATGTAAATACTCCAACATAAATATGCGAACACATGCACTGGAGACAAAGAGATACATCCCCACATAGATGTGGTTATTGCAGGCAGGTAATCTGGAGCATCCCCAGGAATAAACTAAGAAGCAGCGAGTAGCTTCTGGTCATTAATGCCCAGGAATGAGCAAAACTTTGTCTTCTTGAAGGAAATATTAGATCTTAAAAAAGAAAGTAAGAAAAGCATTCCGAATGAGAAACATTATAATTTTGTCTTAGGAAAAGCATGCAGAACTAATATAGCTTATTTAAATGTTAGCTCCAAATTATAATAGGAAATACTCCCACTAAATTGCCATTTCCTCTAAGTTTTGTTTAAGGTCCAAATAATTAAAATGCACACTAATGGTTATTGATGGTTCTATTTCCTTTGAGCAATAAAAAGAAATAGACTTGATTTTCTCTTACTGGAGTAGAAATTTAGGAATCTTCTTAAATTGCCCAGGGGCTTGAAAGCCTCCGGGTGGCTGTAGTCTTCTCTTATTGCTTTCCCACGTCATTTTCAGCTAAAAATTTTTTTTAACGGTTCCCAATGGAGGGATTCCCATTAGAAACCCTCAGCAAGTGAACTTGTACTGGGAATCCTCACACTTTCCCAGTCTGTCTGTATTTCCCCAAACAGAACTCAAGTTGTAAATAAAGGGGAATAACGTATTTCTCACTACCAAATTCTTAAAATTTCAAGTTTTGTGGAAAATACAATTTCACAATTTCAATCTTTGAAATCAGTAAGAGCCACAGAAAGTGTGAAGGTGTTCAAATAGGCCATCTAGAGATCTAAAAACCAGAACTAACAGGAAACAGAATGCTCTTTACTCAAATGTAGGCAGGGTCTGACTGTTCTCAGCATTAAGGGTATTCATGGACACTGCAAAGGGGGAACGTATCTGAACAGTGGGGAGACTTGGACAGTGAATTGCCACATTAATAGTATCAGTGCCAAATCTTCAGATTTAGAGGCTCTGGTGAAAAATTAAACCAACAGCAATTTTCAATGTTTGTAGCATCTGCAACCAGAATTCAGCACTCAGAGCTTGGACAGCTCCACAGGCCGCGATCGGGTCGCAGCTTTAAGTCTAATCAATCTACTCATAGCCAGACTGTCAATGACAGCCAGACTCATTAGCGATTTACTGAAAATCCTCCAAGACTTCCCTTTAAAAACAAAACGACTTCCACATTTAATTGTCTATCTAAAAGAACATACGCAAGAAATTAGGAGATCTAAATTAAATTTATTAATAGGAGAGCTTGATGGTGCTTAATTCCAGAGACCAGAGCTCTGATTGCTGGGGCTTGATGAAAAGTAAAGAGAAATCGTAGTGACATAATTAAAAACATGACTTTTACCATCCTTGAAATTCTATGAATTCGTTACCCATCTTGAGAAATGGGTAAAATTGAAAACCATCAAAATAACTGCACATCTTAAAAATTGGATTGTATGAGTGAAAGGTGTTTATGAGAAGTCGATGACTCCGGATCTTATCATCCAAGAGGACAGCACAGAATAGTTAATATGTTCCTTGAGGGACTAGGATGCTGACGTCTTTTTCTGATACCCGATCATTACGTGACTGAAAAAAAAAAAAAAAAAGGAAGTCATTCCATGAATAAAAATCGGAGCGCAACAGTGCAACAAAATATTCTGTACTTAAAGGCCACAGGCAGACAGATGTTGACAAGGAAGGCTCTTCTAAAACCACGTTCAGATAGATTTCTGCTAACTGCACATATAAATAGGAGCATAGGGCCGGTCACCTCTGTAACCACTGGCAGCAGCAGCAGCAGAAGCCGCAGCTTCAGACACAGCCAGAGGGACCTCAGAGCAGAGAAGGCGCTGCCGACTTGCACAACTGCCTGACCAGGCGGTTCCAGCAGACCCCGGCTGAGCTGCGGCCCTCCCTCTTCCTTCTTCTACTTCTTTGACTTTCCCTCTTTTCCTTAATCACTTACTTCTTTCTCCTGGTGGACTTAGGCCACTTTGTCTCCCACCCCCACTTGAGCTCCTCGCCTCCTCTTTCTTCCTTCTCCATCTCTCTCCTCGCCCCCTTCTCTCGGTGTCACGCTTCCTTCTAGTTCTGTGCGTCTGCAAACTTTTGAACAGAATACTGGCCTCAGAAAACAAGTCCTCCAGCTCCTCCTGCTGCTCCTGCTCATTCCTGCGGCTTCTCAGACACTAACGCCAGACGGTGATGCCTCTTGGGTTGTGACTCCAGCGCAGAAACTTGGAGGAGCCCTTTGCCCGCCGTCTTACTTGGCAACAAACCTCTCCTAGCAGCGGTAAGAGTTGAATGGTAAGGGGAAAAATATCTTACCAAACCAAACGACTCCTTTGTTGATTCTTTCACCCCTCAGCATCAGGGTACGAGTTAGCGTTCCTTCGCACCAGGTTTGGCGAGTTATCGGGCACTAGGCATATACATATTTTTTTCTCACTATAGCGAGAGGGAAGTGGCAGGGTGCGCACAGGCTGTCATTAAGCGGTATTCAACACTGGGAGCCGGAGCTTTGCTCTGTCCCTCCCCCAGCTCGGGGAGTTTCCTGGGGTTGGCGGGTGAAAGGCCAGGGGCGTTCTGACAGCTGTGTGCCCTCTTTTCCCTTCTGCGCAGAATGACCATGTGTAGCGGAGCGAGGCTGGCCCTCCTGGTCTACGGGATAATAATGCACAGCAGCGTCTACTGCTCACCTGCCGCCGCAGGACTCCGGTTTCCTGGAATCAGGTAGGTGCTGGCCGCCCGGGCTGAGCTGAGGCTTGGTTTCCCCTAACACTTCCTCCTGGTCGTCCTCCTGCAGTTGCGCGGTCCCGGCTATGACCATCTCCCCACCGGCTCCCAGTACGCCGCTGTCAGCCTGGGTCCGGCCTCGGGTCCCTGGCCCTGGACCCGGCTCAGCACAAGGTCCGGGCAGGCTCCACTGCGGCTCAGCGCCCCTCCCCCAGCCCAGCCCGCCGCAGCCAAGGGGCCGGGGTAAAGCAAGGGAGCTTCAGCCGGCTAGAGAAACCTCCCCTCCCCCAGCCCCGCCCGCGGGGGGCAGGGCCGGGCCCCGAGCTTGACTTCTTTTCCCTATTCTTAGCTTGAGTTAGGAGAACTTCTCTGGTGCCCGCAGCCAGGTTGGAGGGTTGAGCGTGAAGCTCCCGTGGACTTTGCTTTGTTACAGCTTGTTCTGGACTATCGGGGCGGGGTCTCCCTCTCTCTCCTCTGATCTCCCTTTCGCTTCAATTCGAATTCTTTCCCCTGGAAGAGCTTTCTCTCAAGTGATACATTTTCCAACTGCAATTTGAATCTCAGACTGTCTTGGGGAGGGGGAGTGTTGGCCGGGTATGGTTGAGGAAAAGCGATTTGAGAGAAGGAAGAACAAGAATGAATAGGAAAGGAAGGGGGAGCTTGTTTGGAGGTCTTGAAAGGAAAGGGGAGGAACGGATGAAACGGATGCAAGGCAGGAGGAAGAGAAAGCAGGCAGGCAGGCAGGACCAGGACAACCCTGCCCGCCCGAGGCTGGAGTAATCCTGGCTTTTTTCTTAACCCCTGGTTTCTAATCGGTTGGCACTGCCAGGTTCCCTACGCAGCCCCAAAGTTCTGGGGTGGTCAGCCTGAGAGTGGAAGCTCCCTTTGCAACGCAGCTTCCGCGCTCCGCTGGGCTCCCGGCTCCCTGCAGCTAGGAGCGCGCCTTCTGCCGGCAAAGCTGCTTCTCGGAGCCGCGCCCAAGAAAGGTCGTCTTTAGGGGCCGCTGACCATTGATTTGGCCGGAGAGATGGGTTCTGACTTCAATATTAGGATTCCAGCATCCGGACACGGGGCAGGGATGAAAGTGGCCAGAAAGACCCGGGGACTCTGGGAAGCTGGGCTATAGAAGAGGCGCGTCGCCGACGAAGGGTGGGTGTGGGGCTGACGGAGGCATGTGCTTGCCTTGTCCTTACTTCTCCACGGATGGAGGAAAGGCGAACAGAATAACGAAGTACGACTCTAAACCCTACTAGAGAGCGCTACTTGCCCTGGCCGCGTTCTGACTCTCTCCAGCGGCCCAAAGCGAGGGGGTTTTGCGTTTTAGCCCATCACTTCCCGTCCTATATCAAGGATAGAGGCGCTAGGCAAGGGCGACTTCGAGACCGCGGCGCTCCTGTTGGCTCTCCGTCCCCTGTTGACCCTTTCCCTTTCCGCCTCCCAACATCCCTAACAGATTAGCGCGAACTATTTATTTAGCGGATTTAAAAGTCCTATTTCACTCCTAGCAATTTTCAAAGTCCCGAGTGCCTGGCACTTTCCTCGGGCGAGGAGCACCAGAGTGCGCGGACATGCCACAGAATGAGCCACAGCCAAACAGTCTAAGTTTAGGGGCATCTATTATTCATGTTCCTGCCAGATCCTCTCCCGCCCAAAATAGAAGTCGGAGGTTCTCCGTGACCTACATCTGCGCGGGGAAGGGCTCCCCTGGGCTCAGAGGCTGGTGGGGGTGGCTGGCGGAGTCGGGCGCCGCACACCCTACCCATCCACCCTCCCTCTGTTTCTCTCTGGGCCTCCCTATCGGGTCTTCGCCTTGGCTACGTCTTGTCTCTCAGGACCTTTCTCGTCCCCGCCCGTGGCTGCTTGTTTGGGGTGGCTCAGGCGCCAGGCCCGTAGGGAGGTAGATCCTTTTCGATGGCCAGGTGTACCGGGTCGGCACAGACATCTCGGCTTCCCAGGGCCCTGCAAGGGCGACCCTTTATCCGCGAGAGAACGGGTCGGAGAGCAACTTGGAGGGATGGGGAATTTCTCTTGGGTGTACTTTCTTTCGCCTTCCCTTTACCCCCTCCTCCGTCCCGGAAGAAGTGTCAATTCTCCGTGGGGGGACCTTTAGAAAGAAGGAAAATCAGTCGCGAGCCCCTTTCTCTGGGTCCTTGCAGAGCCGGGGAGGGACTTATACTGACCACTCCTTCTACCTCCCCGACTATCCCCGCAGGCCGGAGGACGAGGCGTACGACGAGGACGGAAACCCGCTGCAGTACTTCTACGACTCTGACCCTCCCGGCGTGGGGAGCCCCGCCTCCGCGCTGCTTGACGCCTACGCGCTCTACTACCCCGCAGAGAAGAGGTACCACCCGCGCGGCCTCCGCTACGGCCCGGGACTGAGGTGGCGGGAGGGGTAGGGTGGTGGCCCACCGAATAGGTTGTTTTTCATAAAACCCCTCAAGCCTCTCTTCTCTCTGGCTGGTACCCATGAGAGCGACAGAAAGTTAGTAGCGGGTCGGTCTGTGTGGCCGTAAGGGTCGCGCGGGACCAAAAGGTCTGTGGCCCAAGGAATGGCCGGGAGTGCGCGCCCCAACCAGACTCGATGCCTGCCATCCCTGGAGGACAGCAGGAACTCCCGTTCCTAGCAGTCAGTCGCGGGAACATCCCGAAAGAGTAATTCGCTAGTTTTGTGCCTCCGGAGGGGTTTCCCGTCAGCCTCCCGAAGCGCCGAGGCGCGTGCGTGCCCAGCTGGGGGCCTGGGGCGACCTCTTGGGGACAAAGTCAGTGACCTTGGGCGCTCACTTTGCCTCCCCGTTAGAGATGTCGCCCAAGGGATCCTTAACAAGGCCTACCGCAAAGTACTGGACCAGCTGTCCGCCAGGAAATACCTGCAGACACTCGTGGCCAAGGGCCTGGGGTAAGAGTTTGCGAAAGAGTTAAGCGGCGCAGAACGGCGCGCGAGCTCCGGGGTGGGTGTCCGTGCGAGCGCGCGCGGGGTGGGCGGTGCCGCTCCTGCGTTCGTGCGTGCGCGTGGGCCCGAGGGTGCGTCTGCGCCGCAGGGTCTTCGGGGCCGGCGGGCGATCACAGGCGAAGGTTCTGATGTAGCGCCTTAAGTTTGGCGAGACAGTTCTGAGAGGCAAGAGGCAAGGAGAGGGCAAAGAAACCGGGGAGTTTGATCGTTTTGAATTAAAAAAACAAAGAAAAACCAAATAGTCTCCTTCCCTCCCCTCTCACCTCTCCCAGTCATTGAAAACCTTCGAGCTTCGCGGGACGATTTGCTATAATTTCTTCTAAGCATGATTGTTTTTTTTTTAAACCATTCTTTTACTGTAAATTCAAATCGAAACCCAACAAATCCTCAAATTTGGGCAGTTAGGGAAACAAACAGTTCTTGCGCGTGCCAGACAAACCCAGAGCACAGGGCTTGCGTGGAGCATCTCTCAGCAGAAGGCAACGTTTTAATAAAGCCCATGGGGAAACAGATTACATTTTTCGCAATGAATAATTCATGTGATGAAAAATATTGCCTACAGCCTGTCGACTTATATTATTATCATCACGTTTTTCAACTTAGCGTGCGGAAGGGGAGGAGTGCTCATGTCTGACTAGGAATTGCAGAATCGATGTAAAACTCCCAGGAAGCAGCCAACGTGGCACTTGGGGCTCTCTGGTTATTTTTTCTGTACCGGGGAGGGGGGTTGGTGGTGGGAGGGGTGAGAGGAACAGTTAGGACAAGTTAGTGCAAAAGCGCGGATGGTCAAATCTCAAAGGGCAGTGTTTGGGGACAGGTTAGGCGTGACTCGCGCATGCCTCTGGCCCGGACCTCATCTCGGGTCCCTTCCGTAAGGATTTAGTGCCAGGAAAGCCTCGGTGGGGAGGGAGGAATGAGGGGTTTCCATCACAGCCCTCCCCTCCGGCTGCTTATTGGCAGAGGAAGGCGGCGCGGTGGGCAATGAGAGCCGTGCCTTCCCTGAAGGCTCCCGCGTGGGGTGGGGCCCACCTGCTCCCCGCAGCTATTGAATCTGTGTCTCCCGCCCCGCCACCTCTTCCCGACCCCTTTCCTTGCAGTGGGAACCTAGGCGGCGGCGCGGAGGACGACTCGGAGCCTCTCTCCAAGCGCCACTCAGACGGAATCTTCACCGACAGCTACAGTCGCTACCGGAAACAAATGGCTGTCAAGAAATACTTGGCCGCCGTCCTAGGGAAAAGGTATAAACAAAGGGTTAAAAACAAAGGACGCCGAATAGCGTATTTGTAGTGGTGAGTTACCAGCTACCTTGTGTATACAATCCTGACACAATGACAAGTCACTTTCCCAACTGACTGAACAGTCATCGCTCATGTGTTCTATCCAAACATGTATTTATGTATGAAGTAAAGCCATTAAATGAATATTTTGATAATAATATTGTTTTTTCTTTTTACAAAGCACTAGAGAATGCACAGATATACTTTGTGGACCAATTATTGATATATATATTACAAATATATATATTAAGAATATTTATAGGTATAATAGCAGTTCATACAGAGTGTGCACAAGGATTGAAAATTCGCCTGAGCTGTTTATGTTTTTATATAAAATAAATAGAAAAATAGACAATCATTGTTTTGAATATTACTCCTATTTTTGTAAAATGGAATTAAAAGGATAGTATTTTTATCCACGACAGGCCTGAAGATATTAATACTGACCATTTGCTACTGTACATAACGATGCCCTGCTCCAGGGAGATTTGGAGGTAATGATTTGGGAGAATTGCTGAAGGGCATTCTTTCCTAGCGAGTCTCTGGGGCAGGTTGCTACAGTCTCAGCTGAACTCAACTAGGACTGTCCCCTTTTGTCCCCCTCGCTGGGTGGCAATTCCAATACTTCTGCTTTCGTTGATTCTACTTTTATGTGTACTTGTCTCTCTTCAGACTCTCAGCCCAGAGGAAATTCTCCTGATAAAAACAACAGCTCAATCCAAATTGTGCTTCTCCCCAGAATTCACACCACTCCCTGGGGGAAGTGTTGGGTTGTACAGAGAAGGGAGACTTGGTAGAAAAATCTCCGTTTTTTGTACTTCCAGGAAACTCAATATCCCGAAGTTAGGGCAATTGGAACAGAGTGAAGGAAATGTAGGTATATTGGAAGAGGCAGAGCATAAAGCAGTCAGAGGAGGACCCTGGAGAGGGACTGGTTTGGAGCTGCCCCAGGTCTGGGAGGCTGAGGGTAAGCCGAGTCCCACCATAGGTCCCCTGCCTGACTGACTTTGGGCGCTGGATATTGGAAATGGATGCAAAGTACAATGTGTTTTTCTCCAGTGCTGTCAATGCTTCTCATCTTGTGAAATGACCAGGATGCTCCCCTTTGAACCCGGCTCTGTAGGAGCCACACTTTTGTGATTTTCTGAAGACTCTTTCCCACCCTCTTGCACTGTTGAAGTACCGGTTACCATTTTTCATTCATTTCTCTTAAACTTGTGAATGCTTCTTACTTTTTTTGTTGTCTGATGCAAGCACTTATTGTAAAGTTTAGGAACCCCTGTGTAGTTACCACTAAGTAATTATGCACTAAATATGAACCTTTTGTTTCTTGTTTATTGAGTTTGTAGGTAAAAT